CTTAGGGATGGGACGAGGATAGGGCCTTTGTTTCACTTTCTCTGTGAAATGGGTGACAAAGTAATCCAAACTACACTAAAAAAGTAGTGAGATAATAATAATAATAATAATAATAATAATAATAATAATAATAATAATAATAATAATAATAATAATAGTAATAATAATAATAATAATAATAATAATAATAATAATAATAATAATAATAATAATAATAATAGTAATAATAATAATAATAATAGTAATAATAATAATAATAATAATAATAATAATAATAATAATAATAATAATAATAATAATAATAATAAATAATATTAATAATAATAGTAATAATAATAATAATAATAATAATAATAATAATAATAATAATAATAAAAGTAATAATAATAATAATAATAATAATAATAATAATAATAATAATAATAATAATAATAATAATAATAATAATAATAAAAATAACAATAATAATGTTAACAATAATAGTAAAAGTATAATAATTAATAATGATAAAAATACTAATTACAAAATATTATAATACATGCCTCTAATACGAATATGGTAATGAATCTAAAAAAATAATAATACTGGGATGATAAAGTGAAGGGAGTAGAGGCCTAGACATATGTATGACTGACGGTCTGGTAGGCGGGTCAGTCAGCTCTCGCCAATATAACTATCACTTGCACTCAGTAATCAAATAATCAAACTAAAAAACAAAAAGAAACTTGATTAGAGTACTGACACAAAAACAAAAGCTAAATAACAATGTACCACCAACACTTAATCTTTAGAAAGTTTATTACCATGAGGTGTAAATTGGAACCTCGTATAGGGGTATTTTTCTTCTTGTTATTTCTGACTTGCAAATGGACGGGAGCTGACTGATGATGTAATAACAGTAACACTAATTAAAGGGGGATGGTATTCTATGCATGGTACTTAATTATACTCTAGAGGAATATTACAGCACCGTTTATATTTATTTATTTATATGTTACAGTCCTTCCCGAGGTGCAATCACTAGCCCTGTCTATCCCATTCTCTCCTCTCTCACTCTTTCTCTCAACCACTCTCTATCTCTCGGTAAAGCAAAGGATTAATAAATATGCTAAGAGTTTCAGACGAACTCTTGGGCTCATTAATAGATTTTCTCTCATTCTCTCTCTCTCTCTCTCTCTCTCTCTCTCTCTCTCTCTCTCACCCTCTTCTTTGTTTTTTATTCTCTTGTATATTATTTATTTCTCTTGTTGTTAGTCTGACTATTGGATTTATCAGTTATTTATACTTAAGTGATGTGTCGAATGGTAACAATTAAACGAATCTAGGATAAGAATTTACCTGCCTGATACCTGTTAATTTGACATTTAATGATCCAGGTAACGTTTTTGTTAATTTTAGACGTATTTTATTTTAACCTTAGGATTAAACATATTATCTGGGTTTTGTTTACCTGTGCCTTATCAAAACTAAATTGATAACTGTATTTGATATTTGTCCAAGAATTTTTGTATTTTATTATGCTACGTATGATTATATAAGGGTATGATAATTATCTTTTTGGTTATTATATTTTTATGATCATTTGAAGCGTATGATTAGTGGAGGGGTAGTTAATGATTTTACAGTTTATAATCTATGACGAATTAAGGTATGATATTTTTTTTTTTAGTGTATCATAGTAAGTATGATTATTTGAAGGGGCTATTGAAATGTGTTTTGTTATGATGAATATTAAAGTACTTGGGATAATTTAAGGGGGATTATATTTTTTTTTAGTTTTTCAAATAAGTTTGATAATTGGAAATAAATAAAAATTATTTTTAATTTCTGAGTTATTTATGATTATTTAAGGATGATAACATATTCCTTCGTGTTTTGTTAAGATACGCATGTTACCGTAGTGATTTGTGTGGGTTTTTATTCAGGTATGATAATTGGAGAATAATATGATAATTTGAGGAGTATAATATTTTGAGTAATAGCTTATTCACCTACAGACGGTAACTTGGAGTGTATGACATTTATTTTTAGTTTATTAAGCTACGGATGATATCTGGAGTGTATGATAGGTATATCCTAATAATCCGGGGCTACAGACACACCTCAATTAATATAGTCAAGTGTGGACGATTTGAGGAGAGAGGAGATATCACATTCACACCCTCAAAATACTATAAAGGGTACCTACTCCCATAGCACTTGATATATATAGTCATGTATATATATATAATGTATATTCAACCCCCCACCTGTGATACACTTCAAGGACCCTCGGGTAGAATTAACATGACTGAGAGGCGAAACAAAGGTTTAACTCTGTACTCCCGTGATTGTCGAATGACACATCGATTACTTTAGCTTTCTATTCAGCCTAACTTATCGGAAGTAAAAATACTAATGAACGGCTACATGTGTCTAGCTTCTTGTTACTAAGATGGCGTATACAGACGAGCAAACTGAATGATGGGGTGGGGGGGGAAAGGATATGAAGGGCTTGAGGAGATATGAAGGGCTTGAGGAGAGGAACAGGAGGAAGGGAGAGGGATAGGGGAGTGGATCCTACATGTTTCAACGATACTCAACTATGTACAGTGTAACTTTGTACAGGATACTGAACATTATGCTCTACGGAAAGATTCATTAACCACCTAACTCTCTTGTAATTGTCTTATGAGCAAAAGGGGACAGTAATTGAAGCTATGCACCCTGTTGATCGCTTCCACCACCACCACCGCCGGTACCACACCTCCACCATCACCAACACCACCAGTATCACACCTCCTCCATCACTACCACCGTGCCTCCTTCACCACCAGTACTTTAACTCCATCAGCTTACCACCACTACCATACCTCTACCACTACCACCACTACCATACCTCTACCACTACCATCACTACCATATCTCTACCACTAACACCACTACCACCGATACTACCATTACCATACCTACTCACCCACAGCCAACACCATCAGTAATATAGCTCATCTCTCCCTCCTCCTTCCACGCCAAATGATCCTCCACCACCACACCGAGCCATCATCATCCTCTCGGGTAATAACTAATCTCATTGTTAGCTCACTCTGCCATAAGTCAACTGACTCCAAGTCAACTAACCCCCGACTGTCAGAGTCACGAATCCCTCGCGAGGATTAAGGGGAAAACTCACGGAAAAAATAACAACAGCGACAATCTCAATTTTGCAAGTGGAATTGTCATTACTTTACTGTTTCACTTACTTCTAACACATATAACATAAATATAGTCTGTCACTTTTGTAAGTAACATAAGTATATTGAAATAATTTTTGTTTGACGGAAATTAATGCCTTTTTATGTCGTAATTTTAGTTAATTATACTATACCACCTGCACCTGATAGTATGTCACCAGCGGTGAGGAAAATACTCACTCTTATCAGGCATAAAAGGAGTGGATTCCAAGAATCTAATTTGATTGATCATTATTGTTATTGTCGAAGGAAACTAAGTTATTTATCATTAATATTATTGTCAGAAATAAACTATTTTTTTCTCTAAATGTGTTACTTCAGACATACCCTCAACCATCTCAGCCTCAGATAACAGCTGTCTCGGTGGGAGTCGAACTGGTGTGCGTGAGTAGTCGATTATCTTGGACCGAAGCGAATGTTCTGCAGCAGTGTACGTATGGATCTTCCGATGAGCTCCGATACCAGCGTTGTATATTATCAGTATAGTGACAGTTAACGGCACCTCCTGCTGCTATACCCACTGACCATCTCGAAAGATAAATAATGGCGACAATATAATGAACTCAGGTGTTGGCCACAGCTCTGAAGCGGAGGGAAGGAACTCTCATAAATGTTCCTCTTATACGCAAGTTTCCTATCCTTGTGCCTTGTGTAGTGTCTTTTCCTGTTTTTAGTAGTATATTTCTCGTTATAACTGAAGCCATTAAGTAATTTTGATGATTATAGTGGCAGGTTTTAACTCATATCATGGTGTTTATTCTACACGCGTAGTGAAAGATAAGTTGTTATTCTTCTCAGGTTCTATTATATAAGATCTTCTTGTGTAGATTTTCCTTTATATTTTTTTTAGAAAATCTCAAAAACGAAAAGAACCTTAACCTAACCCAACCTAATGATCTTAATTTATATAACCTAACATTATTAGAATATATACTAATTAAGTTACGTAAGTTAAGTTGGTTGGTATTTTTTCTGATGACTAAATTAAACCCCTCGGCCCAGAGATTCATAATAACAGGACTTATAACCGAATCCGTTTGATAGATTAACGAACTGGGACGAATATTCCATTATTACCTACAACGAACTTCTATTTATCTTCCTTCTTAAAACCAACACAGATCGGAGGAATGCAAGTCTCCATACTGTAACATAGAGCTCTTAACTTATTTGCATACCTGACCGAAATAAATCTACATAACGTGGTAACTACAGATAAGAGTACAGGAGTTAGTATAGTCAAGTGACCTGGTTGAGTAGCTGCTTATCTCCTGTGTGTGTGTGTGATAATTCTTGGGATGTTGTAGTGTGGCAGTGTCTAAGTGTGGTCATATCAAGATGGCTGGCAGCTGAGATACGACTATATTTTACTATATCTTTTTCAATGATAAGCGATAATCATTTCTTCATAAGCTTTTAAAGATTGTTATCAATACCTCTCACCAAGGGCTCGTGGGTCTGCCTCTCTCACACATAGAGTCACAGGCACTCTCTCTCTCTCTCTCTCTCTCTTCTTGTCAACACCATAGCCTCATGAATTGTCAAGGACACCACCATCATCACCACTAACTGTTCCGTCATCACTACGTACCTTTAACTGGTCCTTGATCATGATACACCACTGGCTCATTCATCACTGTTGACCAATGACTGTTCCATCATCACTGTATAGTTTATCATTATTTTATACTTCTAAATGCCCCCATCATTCTGCACCACTAAATGCCCCCCATCATTCTGCACCACTAAATGCCCCCCATCATTCTGCACCACTAATGCCCCCCATCATTCTTCGTCACCAACTGTCCCTCATCATTCTTCATCACTAACTGCCCATCATCATTCTACACCACTAACTGTCCCTCATCATTCTTCATCACTAACTGCCCATCATCATTCTACACCACTAACTGTCCCTCATCATTCTACACTACTAACTGCCCATTATCATTTGGTCATCACTGCACACCATAAACTAATCATCAACACTATACATCACTAACTGGTCCTTCACGCCACTAACCAGTCAATCATAATACACGCCACTAACCGGTCCACCTAACACACCACTAACCAATCCACCATAACACACGCCACTAACCGGTCCACCATAACACACACACCACGAACCAATCACATAACACACGCCACTAACCAGTCCACCATAACACACGCCACTAACCAATCCACCATAACACACGCCATTAACCGGTCCACCATAAATCACACCACTCACCGATCCACCATAACACACGCCACTAACCAGTCCACCATAACACACGCCATTAACCGGTCCACCATAACACACGCCACTAACCAGTCCACCATAACACACACCACTCACCGATCCACCATAACACACGCCACTAACCAGTCCACCATAACACACGCCACTAACCAGTCCACCATAACACACGCCACTAACCGGTCCACCATAACACACGCCACTAACCGGTCCACCATAACACACATAAGGGTATATTTAGAGCAATGTTTGGATCACAGGTATGCAGTTACATATAATTTTTTATTTGTTTTTGTGTATATTTATAAGCGACTTATCTCGAAATTAATTAACCTATCCTCCAGTCATCTAACCGAGCACTGTTTTTATTTTCTTTATTGGTAATTCTTTCCTATACGTCGAATTAATCAAAATACAAAATTCCGTATGAAAGAAAAATTCTCCCGACTAGACAAACACTTCAAAAGAAACTTATAATAATGATATGCTCTCTCGTCTCCTCATTATATTATCATTTTTTTAAGTATTATCGTTTATAATTAATTATGTTCTTTGGGGGTTAATTAATCTATGGATGACAGCAGGTATATTCAGTTAGGTGGTGACACATCATCTCAAGTGGTGCTCGTTCTTTACACCTTCAGGCAGGTTTCTCAATTACTCTGTATATCTAAATTAGTCACTTTCGTGGACTATTGCTCACAGTAAAGACAAACTCAGTTATCTAAATCCCCCTCAGTTAACCTAACATAAAATGATAATGTGACTCCAGGAATCTAATATACTCTCGCTGGTCTATATTATTATACTTTAACGATATTCTCACCTGATATATTCCTATCCAAGCTCTTGATATGGTGGGATATATTTCGTGTCTCAAATATACTGTAGGAGTAACAGCCAAACAAATGTAGCAACAAATATGTCATTGGCTCCTCAGAACATGCAAAAAATATATTCATCGATTTCTTGTTTCCATTTGATAGTTTTCAATGGAAATTAACTCAAAGATGTTAATACTGTTTAAAATTTCATATGATATTTCACTGCCTGTAAGCTACTGTGTATGTGAAAAACTATTATTAAGTGTTCATTCAAGGCAATATGTATTCTGATTTGACTAATGTCTTTGGCTTCGTATCAAAATTATTTTATTCCCTAATTAGAAAAATCATATTTCCTAAAACGATTTATATCTCAACATTACTTTTTTCTTAGTACGTCTTATCCCTACGAGATGATGATATGTGGCGCCGAGAGGATGACGACGATGGTGGAGATGATGGTGTAGGTTGTGAAGGTGATGAGGCAGAAGCGGTCCACCACCATGGCTGCGAATTTCCAGTCTACAACGATCTCGTTCACCTCGTCCTCGTTCCTCATCTGCCCAGTGATGTACCTTAACTCTCGCAGGATACTCTGGAGTTCCCGCGTGTTGTTGAAGCAGAAGGAGGAGTGTGGGGTAATAATAGGTCCTCCCTCCTCGTAGGACCTGCCTACGAGGCGAGGATAACCCCCATTGTGAGAGGGTGTGCCTGTCCCCATTGCCTGGATCTGTCGGATGTCGTCGTCTATATCCAGGACATTGGCCAGGAGGGACTTAGACGAGCGCTCCTTCAGTTCCAGCTCTCGCATCTTGTTGGTCATCATGATGGTCTTACGGGTGATCTTCTTGCCTGGGCGGTTCATGCGGAGTATCCAAGGTAGCCACTGGAGCAACACACACCGAATCTGCCGGAGAAAAGAACCAACAATCGAGTGTCAATACTGGCGGTAATAATGAACTGATCCTCGGGCTGTGGTTACCTGTGTCTCCGGGCCTCTGAAACAAATTAAAAACAAATACTAATGATTTATATTTACAATAAAATACTAATTTCTATTATCTATTATATTTTTTTAGCTACAAAGTAAAAAAGTCCATTCAGAATTTGCTGTGAAATCTAAGTAAGGTGAACTACATTATGAAAATTACTATTAATTCCTAGAAAAAACATGAAACTTATCTATTAAAAAGTATATCCAGAATAACATACAGTTTACGGTCTAAGAAAAAGAGCAACAGAATGTCTAAAAATATTTCATGTATATGTGTCAAAGAATAACAGGCCTTACATCTTCAGTGTTACTACTTTGCGGCGAAAGTTTATGCCGACGAAATGATTGATAACTGACGTATACATACATTACCTGTTATAGGGATTACTTAACGATACTAAACTCGTTGGTCGGTACAAAGTTACTACTAAAGGTGAAGCAATAATCCCCTTCAAAACACAGTAGGTCCAAGCGACTATACGACAGGACCATGTTGGCAAAAAATTCGGATTATCAAGAACAGTTTTTCATTGTTATGTTGTTTATGGTTCTCGGAAACACGGGCGGACGAAAGGCGAAAATTTAAATAAATAAATGAATAATTAAATAAATAAATAAATAAATAAATAAATATGGTCAACAATAACGACTACAGGTTCTAAGTACAAACTCTACAATTTTAATATACTTTATATAAAGTTTACTTAGTTATACAAATTAGAACACAACAACAATGGTACAATGTTGTCGCCCGATGTTACATAATTATATACCTTGTGTTTGTCTACTTTACCGTACAGTACTGTTTATATTCTTCATAGTTATATAAATCATCATCATCATTAACATATTCACCATTGAGCTTTCCCCCTGCAATACCTTCTAAATGTAAAAAGAAAAGTTAAATGAATACTACCACGTTCCCAGCTTCATAAATCCGTCCCTGAAATAATAAATACAATATAATCTTTAAATCACTTTTTTTTCTATCCCCGACGTATGACCTTTACAAGAGGCTACAATCAATGTATTTAGACGTGAAACAGTGGCAACAAACTCTCAGCAACCTCGGCTTCCAGATGCTGTGAATCTTTTACTACTCTCCTGCCAAACGAGTCATTCCTTTACCAACTAAAACTGCTGGTCTCTCATCTAATTCCTTTATTAGAGCGTAAAAGGCGATAATTACATTCATCTTGATAACAATGATACTAACTTGGATATCATTAAGAATAAAGATGTATGATTAAGCTTGATCAGATACATAACCGTACCTCTATTCTGGTCTCTATTTAAACACTACTCAACAAGACACGGAAACACTGACTCATATAGTGAATCAGTTCTTACGCTGACTCCATCAACACAACCAACGTAATAGAGGCGTCGTGAATAATATTAACTCCCGGTAAATTATATACAAACACCGCACACTCCTATGATTCCGGAAAAAAAAATATTATAAACCTTTGGTCAATTTATTCCCTGGATGCCATATAATACCTTGTTGAGATGAAGGTAGACATTGGTCGTCACTACACACCTCTCATCTACAAAAAAAATAAAATATCATCGACTAACGAAGAAATTACTGTTTTAGTTTAGTTTACGTTTTAAAGGTTATAGTTTATCTTAGATTTGGGATGAAGGAGCTTAAAAAAGTAGTAATTATAGATACAGAAGTATTTAAGACCCGGTACAGTACATTATGGATGGGAGGTGTTTATGATGACTTTATGTTTACACACACATACACACACACACACACACACACACACACACACACACACACACACACACACACACACACACACGTAATCTAGCTTTCATCAAAGATTTTCGAACAACAACAAAAGCGAAGCAGACCAATAATGTAGAGCACCAAAGACATATAAGCACTGGGTGGCTGAGACCTAACACTGGTATTGATAAAGGAAAGGAAAACCTGAGCAACATTTTCTTCAGTGGTGCAGTATTTATCTTTGTGTGTCAAGGGTAATTAAAGGTCAAGTATCCCCCACAGGTCATGAAGGCACCAAGGTTACAGCGTGAAGAGTTTTCCTATACATTAATCAGGATATGGTTTTTCAATGACGAACGTAGAGTATATTGATGTAAAGGGATGATGATAGTAGACCTATAAGACTGATAGTGTCTAGTAAAAATATTATGGCCTAAATACAATATAATGCTGACTGGGTCTTATCTCATGTGGACCATCAATAAAATTAATTCACAGTATGGCCAAAAAAAAATCACACATTTATCAAAGGTGCTTCATGACCTGTAGGAGACATATTTATATTCCTGGAGGTAACTGTAAGCTGTGTCTGGAGTGGTCAAGAAGCAAACCCTCATTCACTGTCCATCGTGATGTATAATATCTCATAGAAGCTAACTCTCTCTTACTCTCTCACATTAGTAGAGCAAATGCCTAACATCAAAACAATACCTTCTCACCCACCATATACTCCCCTACTCAAAGAAACACAGTGAATAACAACACCTGAAATGAATAATAACTTTTACTCCATCCCTACATTAATCACCATTGAAGACCTCTCAAAATAATCTAACTCTCTCCCATAGTTCCCTGAGGATTTTATAATCATGTCCTTTGTGTTATACGAATGCACAGTTTATGGACCCCAGAAGATGTCGTAAGTTCTAACAGCTGTGTAATGTATTCATCCTTAATGGTTGTAATTCTGTCTCTAGCTCCACCTCGGACACCTATGCTCGAGTAAATCCTTCACCATGTGGGAGTCAACACATTTAAGGCTTAATTGCGTCCCATTACTCAAACCTCTCAAGTCACTTCCATGTCTCCTTACACAACTCTACCTGCCTCGATTACTTTCTATATGTCAGTCTAATAATTAAGTGAAAATACTTAAACTAATCCCTACCATTCAGTTCTCCCAACTCTTAAACTAACCTAACACATGGACTGTTCCTCTTAAGTAAAAACATAACAGTTCACGCCCATAGTCTTACTTCTTCCAACCATCCAAACCTTCTTTCTTATTTCTAAAACAATTTATCTATTAGGTAAAACACTTTTATAAAACAACCAATGAAACCTAATGGAAACCTTTCTAATACAGTGACAAAGATTCATACCACAGACTAGTTATATTTTCATCACACATACACCACCCGCCCTTGTCATGGGTGTTCAGGGCTCATATATAAGGCCAAATGCCTCCAAGTCATAACAAACTCTACACGTGTCCAGGGAGACTTCATACAAACAGAAACATTAGTCATTCACTTTACTATATTTACCATCATTGCTGTTGTTGTTATTTGATTGTTGGTGTTGTTATTGTTAATGTTACTGTTTTTGTTTGTTGTGGTTTAATTGTTTTATTATTATTAGTGTTAGTGTTATTATTATTATTATTTTTATTGATACTATTATTATTATCATTATCATTATTATTATTATTATTATTATTATTATTATTATTATTATTATTATTATTATTATTATTATTATTATTATTATTATTATTATTATCATTATTATTATTATTATTATTATTATTATTATTATTATTATTATTATTATTATTATTATTATTTATTATTATTATTATTATTATTATTATTATTATTATTATTATTATTATTATTATTATTATTATTATTATTATTATTATTGTTTTATTTTATCATCATTGTTATTATTATTATTATTATTATTGTTATTATTATTATTATTATTATTATTATTATTATTTTATTATCATTGTTATTATTATTATTATCATTATTATTATTATTATTATTATTTATTATTATTATTATTATTATTATTATTATTATCATTATTATTATTATTATTATTATTATTATTATTATATTATTATTATTATTATTATTATTATTATTATTATTATTATTATTATTATTATTATTATTATTATTATCATTGAAAAATACTCTCAACAATATACTCATTATCCTTGTCATAAATTTCACATCACTAAGTTACGTAATATCAAAATACTGAATTGTTTATTATAGATACTGTTTTTATTACCAAATTAAATAGCACAATATTGTTTAGTAATTGAATGATTTGCTAATAAAGAAGTCTTACTAATACTGATATATTATTATTATTATTATTATTATTATTATTATTATTATTATTATTATTATTATTATTATTATTATTATTATTATTATTGCATCAGTATTTTCTATGGTTCCCTTGGTAAATGTTTTAAAATAATCATAATCATAAATATTGCTGTTAATATTATTATACTAATTGTGCGTCATTCATTACCCAACATGGACGATATCACGGCTCTATTCTTGTGATGACGTCATTGATAACGAAATAAAAGAATCGCTATCAGTTTCGTCCCAAGATTCTTGTGGCCTTCGTCGTTCTTATTTTTATCTATTCAACTTCTTCTTCCTCCTCCTCCTACTCCTCTACCTTATTCCTTCCTCGTCCCTCTCCTATCTCCCTCTTCAATGCAAATCTCTCTAGATTCTCTTTCCCTTCTCTCGGGTGTTGCTTGTAAGTGTGTGTGTGTGTGTGTGTGTGTGCGTGTGTGTGTGTGTGTGTGTGTGTGTGTATTAGCTGTGATGGCAGATGTAGTCATATGATTGTTGTAGCCATAACAGTAGTGGTAGTGGTGGGAGTAATAGTTGTAGTGGCAATAGTGGTAGTAATAGTGACAGTAGAAGTACTAGAAGCATTGGTATTAGTAGTGGTAGTAGTAGTTGCAATCGTAATGGTAGTAATAATTGTAATGGTTGCAGTGGTACTAGTGGTAGTAGTAAAAGTATTAGTGGTAGTGGTAATGGTATTAGTGGTAGTAATAATAGTGACAGTAGTAGTAGTAATAGGAGTAATAGTAGTAGTAGTGGTAGTAGTAGTAGTAGTAGTAGTAGTAGTAGTAGTAGTAGTAGAGCAGTAGTAGCAGCAGCAGCAGACAAGTAGTAGTAGTAGTAGTAGCAGCAGTAGTAAAAGTAGTAGTAGTAGCAGTAGACTAATAGTAAAAGTAGTAGTAGTAGTAGCAGCAGTAGTAATATTATTAGTAGTAGCAGCAGTAGTAATAGTTGTAGTAGTAGCAGCAGTAGTAAAAGTAGTAGTAGTGGCAGGAGTAGTAATAGTAGTAGTAGTAGTAGTAGTAGTAGACAAGGAAGGGCATGACCAAGGGAGCCAAAACAGTTTTTTAAAT